CATCACTATCGACCTGATCGTGGATCTCAGATCCACGATCCGGTCGATAGTAAGGCCGGTAGTGACATCGATAGTGAGGTCTATAGGGGGATCGTGAGATCGACCGCGGGATCGATAGTGAGATCGACGGCGAGATCGGTAGTGAGATCGATCGAGCGAGATTGGTAGTGAGTTCGATTGCGCGATCGAGTGATGACCGATATATCGGGGGGTCCCGCGCGCGTTTCCAGCTTCCGAACATCTGCTTTCTCGGCAGAGGAGAATATATCGATGCCGCTGCTCGCCCTGGAGTCGCCCTCGTCGCCGCGGTTGGATAAATTTCGAAATCCTGCCCAGAAGGCGCGTCGTCGTCGTCGTCGCCCTCGTCGTCGTCGTCGTCGTCGTCGTCGCCAGGCCAGGGAATAGCAGCGTCGGAATATTGTTCTCTCCGTCGTCGCTGCCGGCCCCGCCCATGGCGGTCTCGCAGCTCTATTGTTGACGCTTCGCGTAACCCCACCACGCCATCCAGACACGATGCCCAGGAGAGCCGACGGGAGAAGGGAGGAAGAGACGCACTAGGCGAGTTGCTTTGATGAGGGAGGTGTAGCAGCAAGCAATCCAGCAGTGAACAGTGAACCACATCCGTCCTGGATGCCCCTTGGGGTCGTCTCTGGCCGTCTTGGGCCATCCTGAGGCTATATTGGGCCGTATTGGGTGCATATTGGGCCGTCTTGGAGACATCTTGGGGCCATCTTAGGCTCTCTTGGAGCCATCTTGGCCGTCTTGGAGGCCATCTTGGGCGTCTTCGGGCCATCTTGGCCTCTCTTGGGGCGCTCTTGGGGGCCTTGAGCCGTCTTTGGGCCCTGTCTTGGGAGTCTCTGGGGCCGTCCTGGGGACATCTTGGGGCCTCTTGGCGCGCTCTTGGGGCCCTCTTGGGGGCCTCCCGGGAGCCTTGGAGGGCCTCTTGGGGCCATCTTGGAGGCGGTCGGTCAAACGAGGGGGGGCCCCACCGTTCGCCCCCCCCCTCGGGGGCCACGATCCCTGTGAGGGGTCTCGAAAAATAGCCCTCCCAAGAAGCGAAAAGGGAGCCTCTGACCGCTCGCGACCCCCTCCGTCTAGGTCCATGGGGAGGGGGTAGGGCCACCGGGTAGGGGGAGGGGCAAACCCCTCCCCGAAGGGGAAGAAGGGGTTGTGGAAGAGGGAAGAAGAATCTCCCTAGACCACCTGTCGCCCAGAGGGCTTGTTGGACTTCCTCGTCCACTGCCCGTTCTGCAAAGACACGTTCGGGCAGAAGTGGAGGAAGGGCCAGACGTGGGCCGCCACCTCGGACGCGGCCTTCACGGCGCTGTCCGCCCACCTGGGCAGCAAGGCCCTTGCAGCCGACGACGTCGTCGTCGTCGTCGTCGTCGTCGTCGTCGTCGTCGTCGTCGTCGTCGTCGTCGTCGACGACGACGACGACGACGACGACGACGACGACGACGACGACGACGACGTCCCAAGGGGTGCTCGGGCCAGCAGTGGAGCCCGAAGGTCGCCCAGGAGGCCTGGAATTCGACGCCGTGCTGGGTGCAGGATCGGGGGGCGGGCAGCGCCGCCGATGTCCGTTCGAAAGTGGAAGATGGATGAGGGAGGAGGGGAACGGAGGAGGAACATGCTGATAGTGTCAGCTCACTGCCAGGAGGGATGGGCGGATAAGGAGGAGGAGGAGGAGGAGGAGGGGGGGGAGGAGGAGGAGGAGGAGGAGGAGGAGGAGGAGGAGGAGGAGGAGGAGGAGGGTCATAGGCTTCTATTTGAAGTCTCTCGGTGCGTCCTGGGATCGCCCGGGCGCCTCTTGGATGCCTCTCGGGGCGCATCGGGGTTTTCAAAATGGGGCTCTCGCCAGGGCGCCGCGGACCGTTCAGCACTGCTTGGCATTGCGTAGCATTGCATGACGCTGCGCGGCATTGCATCGCATTGCGTAATTAGCAGCCCCCTCCTGGCCCCCGCCCCCCCGGCGAACGCGGCGGCTGCGTCGTCTGTCCTCGTTCGCCCAGGACGAGGCCATGAGCTACGAAGAGCCGGGGCTCCCGTTCTTTGCGACGGACGCGAAGTCGCCGCTGTGCGGCACGGCCGGCGCGCCCATGCCCGGGCCGTCGCCGTCGACGCCGCCGCCGGGC